CAAAAAAAATATTTAATGAAATCTACACACTATAATATTGAATCTAAGACTTAATAATTATGATTCCAGAATCATAAATTTTCCCTAATTTCGATTAAAGTTCTCATTTAGACAAAAAAAAAAAGAGAAAAAGGAAATTGAGGACTATCAAATTATAACTTCAATTTCAAAGCTTCTCTTTACCAGGGTGATATAATTTTAGTAAACTATTTTTGGTTTGTCTCTTAATTAATTTGAGTTGCATATAATTTTATGATAGATATCCTTTTAGTATATATGTTAATTTTATAGTGATTTTCAACTTTGAACCACTGCCTCAGCAACAGCACAAATTAATCCAGATATATTAGAAGTGGATGAATTTTGGAGTTTGTTAGTTCAAAAATATATGTTCATGTCTCCTTAGCTATATCTATTTAAGTACATCTCTTTATTAATTACTATATATTTATTTAACTTTGTCGTCCTCATGTATGAGAACCCAACAACTAGAGTTTTAAGACTCCGTCCTGAAATGTTTAAGTTCAAATCTTGATATGAACAAGATAAAATTTATGGAATGAGAAAGAACTAGCTTCTTATTTATTTATTTATTTATTTCTTGTGGTTCTTTTTTTTTATTTTGAGTGGAGGGAATTCGTTTGTATATACAATTTCATAATTGTGACAGTGATTGTTCAATAGCTTTAAAAGTTTAAAACAAAATATTCAAATAAGATTTTTTTTATTGAAATTAAAAAAAATTAAAGCTTCGAATAATTAAATTCATATTTTTTATTTAACATATTTAAATATTTATTATGAAATACTAAAAATATTTAACTATTATAATCATTTTATATTTTTTAAATGATTAATATAAAATCAACAATCAAAAATTTTAATTTAAATAAATTAACTATCACATAAAATAAAAATAATATAATAATATAATATAAACTCTAAATAAAAAATAAAAAAGTATGCAAAGATTGAAATAATAATACCTAATTATTGAATGTTTATTGCAAATCGTAAATGAAGCTCACAGTTTTATGAAGATAATAACTAACAAATTTCTTGTGTATAATTTGGAGGAAATATGAAATTAAAAGAAAGAAAGAGCAAATAACAGAAGAAAAATTTAAAAATAGATATTATAAATTAAAAAAATTAAAAAGTAATAAAAACTTTATATTTATTAGATACATAATTAAAAAAGTAAAAACATATATCATTTTATTAATTATTTTTTACTTTTACATATTTTTAATAGAAAATGAGATAATTAGTTCAAAATTAATAAGCCTGTGAAAGTAAGAGAAAATAAATATTTATTAATATAATAGAGTAGATAAATATTTTACTAATTATTTTAATTTTTATATATTTTTAATATAATTATGTTATCATTATTATAAAAATATGTCATCTTTTTAAATTTGAAACCTAAAGTTCTATCTTGAATTGTGATCTTTATATGGTCCATCAACAATATATCAGCAATAAGTCATATTGACTTCTTTTTTCTTTAAAAAAAATGTCAAATCATTGGATTGATCACTGAATGATATCATCAAAGTCTGATCCAATGTTCATAAAAGTTTTTTTTTTTAAGCTAATGTTCATAAAAGTTATCCAGCAAAAGGATTTATTTGTTTTGCATTTGTTCTTTTTTCAACATTATTTTAAATAATTTTTAAACTTGAAACACTCCATTCTTATATACTAACTATCTACTTTAATATATCTATGTAAAAACATAAATTCAAACTTGTAATTTATTTCATAACAATATTTGGCTTAAAACACAGTAACGTATCTTTTTTTTTTTAACTTTAGTAACATATCTTTTACAATAAAATAAATAGGCATCAACTTTCAAGAACATATTTTGTTATAAAACTAAAAAAATTGTAACAACTTTTAGATCAAGTATCCTATTCAAAGTCTGCACCACTTAATATAAAGTCAAGTTTGCGAGTAAAGTCTGCACCACTTAATATAAACCATTATTATGAAATATTGAAGGGGAGAAAAAATGGTCAAAAGACTTATTTAGTTTTATATTTTTAATTTTATTCAATTTAGTCTTTATACTTAAAATCGAAGCAATTTAATCTTTCAATTTTAAAAATTATGTCAATTTAGTTCTTCTTCTTAACAACATTCAATTTTGTTATTAAAAGATACCGTCATTACTAACGTATCACATTTTGATAATGTGGCATTGAGATGATGAAGTGACATGTCATGCGGCATTGAATGATGACATGGCACTATCACATGACACTATATGGTGACATGATAGTGATATGCTGACATATTAATGCGATGTGACAAATCAAAAAAATTTTCAAAAAAAAAATTATCACGTTATAGGAATTAAATTGAACAAAAATATATAATACATGGACTAAATTAAATAAAATTGAGATGTTGAGGGACTAAATTAAAAAAATATTTAAAAAATATAAATATTTAAATAGATTATTAATAAGCTAAATATTTAATGGTAAAAAATTTATAATGTTAAAAAATATATATAAATATTTTTTTACTTGATTATTTGATTCTAAAATATGCAAATTAATTTATCTTTTTATAAAAATTAAGTTTGAATTCTCCTGCTATAAAAAAATTTGAAAAGCTTTTAGATCTGAAGTCAAATTTAGATAAATAACTTGTATTACGTTAAAATAAAATAATATAAAATAATTAAATAATTTTTTTCTTCAATTTATAATAATATAAAAATTTAAAATTTATTTAACTTAGTTTTTAACTTGAGTTAAATTCAAATTAGTCAAATATGTTGATTTAGTTTTTTCTTTTAAAAAAAATAAAGAACAGAGATATGGAGTTAGTAATGATTATAAAAATAACTTTGTGTTCTAACTTGCTTAATTTGCACATAATAAACCTCTTATTACAACTATAGAATTTAAGCTCCATCCTTTGAATTATTTATTTATTTATTTATTTATATTTTTATTTTATTTGATATTTCAAGTTATATTTTTTAAATTAAAATTTTTTAGATTAAAGACTACATCAATAGTTGATAAAGTTAAATATAATTGTAAATATTTGTACTTTTTTATTTTATTAATAAATTTTTTATAGATTCAAATTCATAATTTAAATTTAAATTTAGTAGAATTTGATTGTGATATTTGAATTTAACTAAAATTTTTTTATAAAAAAATTTTGAGTAAATTCAAATAAAAGGTAAATTAGGTAAGAGTTGAATAATTTCAAAAGAATGTATATTTGTAAATTGTAAAAGTTGTAATTAAATTAACATATTTAGTCATTTTATATTATTTTATTTTAATATAATGTAAGTTATTCATCTAATTTTGACTTAAGGTATAAATTTTTTTAAAATTTTTTTTATAGAAAGAGAATTAAAACTTAATTTTTGTAAAAAAATAAATTAATTTACATATTCTAGAATCCAAGAATCAAGTAAGAAAATATTTATATATATTTTTTAACACCATAAATTTTTTTAATTAAATATTGAACTTATTAATAAGTATATTAATAATTCATTTAAAGATTTATATTTTTTAAATAATTTTTTATAATTTAATCCATTAACATCTCAATTTTATTTAATTTAGTCCCTATATCATATATTTTTATTCAATTTAACTTGTATGACATGATAGAGTTTATTTTTTTTAAAAAAAAATTTTTGATCTGTCTCGTGACATTGACATGTTAATATTATCACATCATCATATAATGTCATATGATATTACCACGTTATAACTTAATGCCACATGACATGCCACATCATCATTTCAATATCACATCATTAAGATGTGATATGTTAACGATGATTTCATTATTGATATTATCTTTTAATCATAAAATTAAATACTATTAGGAAAAATAATTAAATTAAAATAATTTTTAAAATTAATAAATTAAATTATTTTAATTATAAATATAAAAATTAAATAAAATAAAATTTAAAAATATAAAAAGTGAATAAATCTTTTGATTGAGAAAAAAATCTATAATATATTTAAAAAGAACATGAGGCTTTCTCATCAAATCACGTGAAGGGCAAAGGCAAAAAGAGAAAAAGGACAAAAAAAGAAAAGTGGAAAGAGAAAGAAAAAAGCAAGTAGAACGAGACTCGTGTGCAACGCATAGGCCATAGGCTAGTGATAAATAACATAACTAAATGCACAACAAACAAAGACCAGAAGTTTCCTGGCATGTTCGCGACAAGAGAAATAAAGAATGACTAGACCTAATTTATAGAACAACAAAAAAAATAAATGATAATAAATTGACCAATCACACAATAAAGAAGGACTTCTCCCAAATAAACTAGCAACAAGGTTCTTACAATATCGACCTTATCTAGTAGACCGTCACCGTTTCTCAACCTTTTGCATTATCTCTCTAAAATACACAGATCTAGAAATCGGTCCTCGCTGTTCCAGAGAAAAGGAGAAAGAAAAGATGGTAAATCGGTGTCTACGGTTGATTTATCTGGTAGCTGCTATCATCTTACTTGTTGCAATATTATTATCAAGGGATAATAAAGAGTTCAGCTTCTACAAACTCAGCTTCCGATGGCCACCTTCTGCATGTAACCAGGGCAGTCTAAAGTGTTTACCGGATACCCTTGGCTATTTTACCATCCATGGTTTATGGCCAATGTATGAGGATGACAAGCAAGTGCCACCATATGATCCCAAAAAGAACAAGTGCACCGATGTCACTCCTACAGACCCCAAAGATCTTTTGGTAAGCAAATTATTGTTCTTGTATATTTATTTTGCTTAAAACTAATTAGGGTAATTAAATAATGCAAGCAACCCTCTTTAATTCCAAAAAAAGAAAAATCCCAACATACCCTTTTCTTCTAAATTCGAACTTGAAACCTTACACTAGAGATTTAATCACCGCATCATAAATTAGTGTCTGATAATGTAAGAGTCATTATCCAAAACATCTTCTTTTTAACTTCTAGCCTATTTATTTGTGCTTTCTAACTATATATTTTTTCTTCAATTTACAGCCACTATTAAAGTCCATTGAAACGACTTTGCAAAAATATTGGCCAAACTATAAGAACTATGCAAATATAAACATGTGTGCAGAGAGTTGGAAACACGAATGGAAGGGACACGGAATTTGTTCAGATTATCCGGCCGACGAGCCTTTGGAATACTTCAGCGCTACCTTATCACTTGCCCAAAATTATAATTATGATCCATTAAAAGGCACACAGGTTGTACCTCGAGAAGAGCCTTATCCAGCGAGAGAGATTGTGAATGCTGTCAAAGAAAAAGTTAAAGCAACTCCCCAAATTCAATGCAACAAAAAGGACGGAACCCTCCAATTGCTGGAAATTCGTGTATGTTTTGGTAAGGCAAAGCCTCTTACACCCATCGACTGCCCACACACATTTGACCCACAAGGCGTCTGTC